CCTAAATGTGATCTCTTGCAGGACTTCACTACATTAGCGACCGGGAAGAATTTTTGCTAGGCTGAGTTAAAACTCGTTATTTATATGTTGTTATTCTTTGTTTCTATTTAGCCCTAAAGCTTTCTCAAGGGCCTGCTCTCGTGAGACTTCCACTACAGTAGGGCCTGGAAAGAGTTTTGCGAGGCTGATTTTATAATGTATTATTGATATACCCCGAAGTGAGTTATTAATTAGTTTTATTTCCTTTTTATTATATTCATACTAATCTTCCCGTGCGTGCGATCCCGCGTTCGTTGCCTTGGGAAAATTAAAGTTGTAGCTTTTCTTTAAAATCATATCAGTTTCTATAGCTGTGCGAATAAAAGAAAATCTTCACACAGGCGCGGAATTTGCTAGTATGCGGTGAAGGCAAATACACCGATATTTACTCCTTTTTACCCCCTCCCCCCAAGTATGCGGAATTAAAAAATTAGTCGACAGCCATGGGAAGACACCGTTAAGGCTAGCCGGCGAGAATCGGACAAATCGCCCCAAAAACGCCAAAGACATACCAATTTTGTCTTATAATTGGTATTGTGTTTATCCCTTTTACTATTCCTTAAATATTACTAGTTCTGCACTTGAGTACAATAAAATTAAAATAAAAAAAATATGAAAATAATAGTTGAATAATTGTAACAAAACAAAATCAATTAGTACCGAACTGAATACTATTCTTCTGGGAAGTGGCTGCTAGATTCCGGCTGGAGGTTCATCAACGAAAGGGCCAAGCCAAAAACGCCTTCTTGCAAGATGGTTAACAGCAATTTTTGCGTACTGGTATCTGCAATCAAAAATCAGGCGGCATTGTTATTTTTCGCAATCCACATAGCAACTTCTCATTCTTATCTGAAAATTTCCAAAAATATTGAAATTTAATTTGTATAAATATATAAAGTAAATAATAATTATTCGAATCAATATATCGAGGAATGTGGGATGAAAAATAAAAAATGAAAGAGTTATTTAATGATATAATTTCTTTTACAATTTACAAATTAAGAATATTTATTATTGATTCAAACCAAAACAGCAAAATAATTATATCCTCTCTGCGTAACCATCTTGGGCTAGGCAACGTAAGAAAAAGAGATCCGAGCCTGGAGGAAATAATTAGAACTGTATTCAGCTTCCAAATCATCCTTTTATCTTCCCTCTTTTAGAACAAGGGAATTAATGCAGGGGAATTTATTCAATAATGGTTCTTACAATTTTTTAAGAACTGATTTAAAACGACTATGTAAACCCAGCAACGAAACAAGTAGTTTTGGAGGGACAAATAAAAACATTATAAACTTATTTTATTATTGTGTTGATAATTAATATAGTTTTATTATTATAAAAAATATCCTTTGCATGGTATTTCATTATTTTGTTTAGAATTCTACACAAAGGAAGGCCTAAGATGAATGGAGTTAGCCGGTGAATGATATTGCTATAGATTAGTGTTGAAAGAAAATGATGGGCATGTTTTTCAACGATAATTAAATTAACTATTACAAAATAATCCAGCAATATAAACTACAATGTTTATAATACTGAAAAAGGGGAAGACAATAAGGCACTATAATAATTTAAAAATGTGCAAATAGTTGCAGGATTGTTTAATATCTTATTTGTAAACTACGAGCCAAGATAGCTGAACACCATAATTCCAGCTACCAGTAAACCACTAAAGTTACCCATTAGTTTTTGTTACATATTGCTTAAAAAACTAAAAATTAGGTATCAAAATTCATTCTAAGTTTTTCTGTACGTAGTTTTCTTCTCATGCGTTATTTTACCCTCTTTCTACCCGCGATTTTGGTGAAGAATCGAAATCATATTAAGTAATTAAAACTGTAGAAACTTATTTCGTACAAATAATCATTTGACCGTATTGAGATTCCCAGCCCTTGATCCCTGATATTCATAATCTTCTATTCCATGCCCGTAATTTATATCCACTAACCGCAAACCACTTGTCTGGGCTAATCTTAACCTGCAAACGATCCCGAACATAAGCCTTCGCAATTTGTTTCTACCTAGGACTTTATCTACCCATTTTGTATAGTACAAACATTAACCGCGGCTAATTTGTGAATAACTCAACATTCAAACATTAGCAGTTCATTACAACCCCTAACAATTTCACCATACATGTAGCCCACCTGTTTTGTGTTTGTGAACAGGTTTAGCTTCTTGTTGTTTTTTTTTTTTTGTTCGTTTTTAATACATAAATTGTTTTTTCTATTACCCTGTCTCCTTAGATCTTTCTGGAGACACAAATGGAATCATGCGTGATTAATTTTACGCTAAAGTAGCTTATATGAATGAGCTAAAATTGTGGCATTGCTTACTCCGTTAATATGGAAACTAGAAGATACTCCGGCATTGCCCGCGGATTTAAAACAATCATCTAATTAAGCAGCATCGCTACGCCCTGCTCTTTTTTCTTTAAAAACCTCGCAGTGAATCGACTCCCTTCCTCGCCCTATAAAGGTTCTGCCGTGGCCGCCCTGCCCCTCTGACCTCTCCTTCCTCTCTTTCTGTTCCTCCCACTCATCTCGCTCGCTCACCTCTTCCCGCCTCTCTTTCGCTACGTCGATGTTCTTCTTGCTCTTTGTATTCACCTCGCCTCCTTTCGCTCCTTCCGCCCCGCCTGATGTTCGCTCAGTGCCAAGCAATTTGCTTTTCTAGGACTCCGAGCTGCAGGCTCTAGTGCTCATGTCCTGGCGGGGCCCCCTGCGTTTGAACACTAGCTTAACATAGGGCTCCGTCGAAATTCAAGCCGCTGTCTTGGGAATTAAAACGAACCAATGTTCTGATCGAGTTTTCCGCATCAACGCCAGGCCAAATGCCAGAGCAACCCCCCCCCCGGTCTACGCGCTATCCTTTCTTTCCTCTGTCCTTGTCCTCCTCTTGCCGTTTACAAACCACATACACAACCACCACATAGTTCGCGGGAGCAGTCGAAGCTAAGCTCGTTCGGCTTGGGCGATGCCCCTGGGGAAATACGCGCAGTGGGAAAATCCCCCGCTGTAATTCCACGTGTAAAGTCGGCGCCGCAAGCACCATCAGCTTGGGAGAAACATCGCTTACCTTCGGTAAAACATTTCGCTTCACTAACAGGGAGTAATGACCAGTAGCAGTTTGGCGAAGGCCCGAAATAATCAAATTTGCTACTCTCTCTCTCCTTTGGACCTTCATCACACGTTGTTGCTTCCGCCCGCCCCTTTGCCTTCCCCCTTGTCGCCTCCAACTCGCCCGCTCGACCAACTCTGTCCGCTCTACCAGCTTCTGCCCGGTCTACCCGCCTCAAACCAGCTCTAGGCCCGCTCCTACCAGCTCTTGGCCCGCTCTTACCAGCTCTTGCCCGCTTTACTAGCTCTGCCCGCCTTTACTAGCTCTGCCCGGCGTTTACTAGCCTCTGCCCGCTCTACCAGCTCTTGCGCCGCTCTACCAAGCTCTGCCCCGGCTTTTTACTAAGCCTCTGGCCCGCCTTTTACTAGCTCTGCCCGCTTTACTAGCTCTGCCCCGCTCTACTAGCTCTGCCCGCTCTACCAACTCGTACCAGCTCTATTCTCTAATCAGCTCCTACCCCGCTTGCCCGCCTCTTACCTTAAGCTTGCCCACTGTGTTCCGTTCTGCTCTCTTCTTTCCGCTCTGTCAAAGTCTGGCCCGCTCTGTCTCTTCTTCCCTCTCTGGCCGCTTGTTCCACTGCTACCAAGAACTCTGTTCCGCCCTACCACGCTCTGTTCCGCTCTGTCTCTTCTGCCCCTTTTCTGTCCGGCTTTTGTCCACTCTACCAAGCTCTTGCCCGCCCACACGCTCTGTTCCGCTTCTACCCGCCTCTTGCTCCTCAATCGATCCTTTTGCTAAGGACCACGCCCCCGCGTTTAACCCTTACGTAAACTCCCCGGGGCGGAAATGCCGTTCCAGATTGCGGTTTTGGGATTTTCAATTACATCAAAAGTATTGTTAAAAATAAAAGCAACCCACAGCAACTTTAAAAACTATTTTTTTATCCTTGGCCGCGCTCAAAAATTAGTTTTTCTTGCCAAATTTGTGAAGCTATTCCACTGGCCCAAAGAGGTTCTTTTTTAAGTTTTGATAGGCAAATAAAAATCATTTATTTACTGTCTCTTTTAAATAATTAAAAATTTTACTAACTTGCTCTTCTCGTGAAATTTCATTTGCCTCCAAAGCCAAGATAATGCTTTTAAAGCCCAGTTGTCGTATTAAATCCATCTGCGTTTCGCTGAAACCCACCATAAGAAAACATTAATTGACATGGAATCTCCTGAGGG